AGTCGGTGAGACTCTTATCTCCAATAAGAAAACCAGAAGTGGCTCTGTGGCTCAAGTGATAGAGCGCTAGCCTTGAGCTGAAGAGCTGAGGGACAACGCCCAGGCTCAGAGTTCAAGCCCCACAGCCAACAATAACAACAAAAAAGAACATTATTACATAATAGGATGAATGCAGGACAGTGAAGTGGGTTTAAAGTAGAAAGGGAGAGAGTAAGGAACAGGAGCATCTTTTATCTACTTTCTAGAAAGAGTAATAAGCCAGCAGCAGCTGACTGTCCCTGCAATTGAACTAAGGTCAGATGAAGAAAAAGGAAAGGATATCAAGATGCATTGTACTCACAAACCAACATGTTGAACTGAAACCCTTTTGTACAACTACTTAAAGACAGTGAACAAATACTAAGAAATAGAAAAGTGCTATCTTTCCTACTCTAATAAAACAAATAAGTAAATTATAAATTAAACAAACAAAGCAAATTAAATCAATCTCATAACACTAGAGTTTATAAAAAAAACAGCTGCAAATTATCTTTCAAGTTCACATTAAAATTATATTATTATATTTATTGGAGATTGAGTTATGTTTAGTATACAACTCAATGTTTTCAATATAGTCATATACTCTCACTACTAACTTCAGAATATTTTCATCACTCCACAAGGTATCTTGTATCTATTAGCAACCTCTCCTTATTTTCTGCCAGTCAAATATACTTAGTGATTTTGTGAATTTGGCTACTCTAGTCTCTTCATAGAACTGAAAACATAGTTCTTTATGACTTCATTATGAATTCAAAGTTGTTGATACTTAGAAATATATATATACATGTATATATATATATATATATATATATATATATATGTATACACACATTTCCTTAACATAAATTAATGACTTCCTCATTCCTCATACACCAAGCTATTTCTTCATTAAGATAAAGGGTAAATTTCAAACACATGTTATCTTTGCTAACAAAGTATTCAGTAAAAGACTACAAAAACAACAAAAAAGTAGGAATGCATAGTTTAATATTGCACCTATTGCCTGGATTTTATGGTATGCATTTTTATGACTAAAATTCCATTCCATTCCATGAGTAAATCTCACTTGACCATTCACCAGTTGTTGAACAAATGAGTTGTTCCCCCTTTCTTGGCTGTTATGAATTCTGTTGCTATGAACATTCACATACACATTTTTGTAAGAACCTGTTTTTCTATTTCTCATGGATGTATCTAGACTAGAACTGCTAAGTCCTTTGGTAATTATATGTTAAGCCTTTGAGAGACTGTCACATTATTTCAAAGCGGCTGCATCATTGTATATAACTATCAGCATTATGTAAGGGTTTTCTGCATCCTACACAGCAGTTGTTATTTGTAGGTGTCCCAAAGGGTATTTATTAAGTTGTATCTTACTGTGGTTTTGATTTATATTTCCGTAATGACTTACAATTCCGGTACTTTCATGTACTTGCTGGCAATCTTTATAATTTCAATAGAGAGAAGTAAAATTTTTTTCTATTTTTAAAAGATAATCTTTCACAACTGAGTTCCAAGAGTTATTATCCCCAGTAGGACATGCTGTAATCAGATATTAGTGACAAATATTTTCTTATTCTGCATGCTATATTGTATGTGCGTGTGTGTGTGTGTGTGTGTGTATGTCCAACTGCACACATACTCTGCTTCTGGAACTTGAACTCAGAGCCTTTTGCTCTTGCTGGGCTTTTCTGTTCAAGACTGAATTTCTACCACTTAAGTTACACCTCCATTTTCAGCGTTTTGTTGGTTAACTGAAGATTATCTTATATCTGTTTGCCCAGGCAGGCTCTGAACTGTTATTTCAGATCTCAATTACCTGAGTAGTGAAATGTGTGCCATTGGTACCTAGCTGTATGGATTTTCTCTGCCTTCTTGATAGTGTCTTTGGAGCAGAAAGGTTTTACATTTAAATAAAGTCTTACTAACTTTTATTTGGTGAATTATTGTAAGTAAGATCTAAGAAACCACTGTCCAATCTCAGGTTATGAAGATTTTAGCTGTTTTCTTCTGAATGTGATAGTATTATTCTTACAGTTAGATATTTGATTAATGTTGAGTTTGAGAGGCAGGAGTCTAAATTGATTTTTTTTGTATCTACTTGTTCTAATAATATTTGCTGAAAAGACATCTGACCACTGAATGTCTTAGCCCTATGTTGACTTTTAATTTTATTACATTGGTTGATAAGTCTATCCTAATACCAGTACCTTAGCTATGCTTTCTGTTGCTCTGCAGTAAGTCCTGAAATTGGGAGGTATGAATCCTGCTATTTGGTTTTATTTATTTATTTATTTATTTATGTTGGTCATGGGGCTAGAACTCTGGTCCTGGGCGCTGTCCCTCAGCTCTGAATTCAGCTGAAGGCTAGCTCTCTACCACCTGAGCCTCAGTGCCACTTCCAGCTTTTTCTGCTTATGTGGTGTTGAGGAATCTAACCCAGGGCCTCATGCATGCAAGGCAAGCATTCTACCACTGAGCCATTTTCCCAGCCCTATTCGATTTTATTTTTGAAGATTATTTCAACTATTCTGAGTCCCCTGCATTTCCACAAGAATTTCTGAATTAGTTTGTCTATTTCTATAAAAAGGTACCTGAACTGGAATTTAATTTTTATATTAATCTTTCATCTTAATATTAATTTTTAAAACCCATAACTCTAGGATGTCTATTTATTTAGGTCTTAATTTCCTTTTAACGACGTAATGTAGTTTTCAGTGTACAACTCTTTCATATTTCTTTTGCAAACAGACATAACTTTACCTCTTCCTTTCCAGTCTGGATACTTTTGATTTGTTCCTCTTGCATAACTGCCTTGGCTAAAAGCTCTATAAAAATGCTGAATAGAAAAGGAGAAAGCATGGGGCTGGGAAGGTGGCTCAGTGGTAGAGTGCTTGCCTTGCATGCATGAGGCCCTGGGTTCGATTCCTCAGCACCACTTAAGAAAAAAGAAAAAAGCCAGAAGTGGCACTGTGGCTCAAGTGGTAGAGCGCTAGCCTTGAGCTGAAGAGCTGAGGGACAGCGCCCAGGCCCAGAGTTCAGGCCCCACGACCGGACCCCTCCCCCCCCCCAAAAAAAGGAGAAAGCAGACAACTTTGACTTGTTATTAATGTAAGGGAAACTATGTCTTCTTTTTTCTGTTCAGTGTAGTACTGAATTTTTCCAGTATGCTCTTTATTTAGTTGAGATAGTTCCCATCTATTCTTAGTTTATTGGCCATTTTTTTAAACACAAAGGGATGTTGTATTTCATTTAATGCTTTTTAAATAAATGATCATGTGGTTTTTACCCTATATTTTATTAATATGGTATACTATGTTGAGTTATTTTCATCTATGAAAGTAACATGACATTTCTGGCAATGTAATTCTTGTAAATTCTAAAATGTTTTCTGAAAATTTAAAAGCACTAATCAGCCTGCTATTAAAATCTTTGTATACTGAGGAATCGAACCCAGGGCCTCATGCATGCAAGTGGCTCAGTGGTAGAGAGCTTGCCTTGCATGCATGAGGTCCTGGGTTCCATTCCTCAGCACTACATAAGAAAATATACTTTTACACAAAGTAATGAACTCATCACACATTGTTTGATAGGCTGTATCATGAAAACACAACTTTCTAATGTTTACATAGTATATATAAGGATATATCATATTCTAGTCAATTTCTTATACATAAAGATGGATTTGAAAAACAGCTGGTATTTGAACATTATTTTTATTTATTGATATAATTGCCTAAACACTAGATTATTGATGAAAAACTATTAACATTTATGCATTTAGGCATTACTAACTTGCCACTCAGGAAAAAATATGTCTCATGATTAATTCACATCAGCATTGTTTAATAAGGCCTTATTTACCACATTCTAATCAATAATGGGCACTAATCTTTTACATTTACAAATCTTTTGATTTGGCTGTTTCAGTACAACTAAGGTTTAATATTTGTTCTGCTATGTACTGTTGATTCATATGTATTTTTATTGATATATGTAGATTTTTCTATAAAAATAGGCTCATCTGTTTCTCATAGATTTGACATTTTAGCTTTTTTTAAAATAGTATATGGCAAAAACTTGCTCTTAGTTGTCATCTGCATGATTTCACATTTAAGACTTTTCTTTGTAGGTTCTTTGCTTTTATGTTTAGAAATTCTGCAACCTGAGATTAGATAAAGACTTACCTACTTTGTTTTCACCAGGTTGTTTTATGGTTTTGCTGACATCAGAAATATATTTTTATACATATGTAATAAAGTTACAACTTAATCTTAAACCAAATTGTGAAATATGCACCTAAACATCATGTATTGAATCTATTATTTCCTTACAATTCTGAGTTGTGCCAATTTTATCACATAGTAAAATCTCCATGTTTTTTGCAATTGAGTTCTAATGATGTGTTGCTCAGTGTTCCACCAGTGCTGCCCAAGAGAAACAAAAATGGAGCATGGAACGGTTAATCAGTAAGTATAGCCAACTTCTAGCTTTTAAATTTAGGGATATCAAAACAGAATAGAAACAAATTCGGAATGGCTTTTGGAATATATGTTTAACCTTTGATAAAAGCGACATAGAAAAAAATGAACAGTTCTTCCACATGCCCACAGGCTTTATCCCAAAGGTTTTCAGTTCATGGGAACTGAAGTAGGAGAAAGAATACAGAGAAGCTGGTTACAAAGCAAATTACTTCCTAATTCCCTTAGTAATCAGTGGCTGGATGTGGCAGACCTGCAGTGCTAAAATAAAACTCTATGAACGAGCACGTTTCTTTGATCAAGATGAAGAAGAGGACAAGGGGAAAAGTGGAGGCAAAGCAGTTCAGATACCTCAGAACTGTACCCTAGTACAAAATAACATATAACTTATCCTTAATAGGAAAGAATGGAATATAAACAATTACATTGAGACCAAGGAGAGAAGATGATAATATTCTCAATAGTTAGTTGTCTTACCTAGAGACGCATAGGATCCTGGATTCAGGGCTCCTGCACCTAACCGACCACTTCGCACAGACTGTCCAGCTGCATGATGTGCCTTGGCACCAGCAGCAGCATTCACATCAATGTCACTTCGGGAACGCTGCAGGCTTCCTGGAAGGGAACTGGCTTTGCTGCTGCCCACTGATACTACAGAAGACAAAGGTAATCTATCATTTAAATCACTGAAAACAACATGAAACATGTACAAACTTGAAGTTAGCAGGAACAAACATGAAATTCATGATGACATATATGGGCAGTGAAGAAGCAGTGTCCAGACAGACAAATACTTAAAGTCTAGAGTGCCTCAGCTTCCATCTTGACAGAATTAAGTTTCTTGGGAAAATTTCAATATTTCTTCATCTCCCTCTCTCATAAAATAGATGATACATATGAGTTAAGAATATGAAGTACAGTATTTATAATATAAATATGACAGCAGTTTTGTCATTTACTAACAGAAAATTACAAAAGTCCAGAAGAGAAATTAATGGTACCTTTGCCTTCTTAGGCCATGCAAGAAATTAAAGTTCTGCAATTCAACTTTACAGTCTTAAAAAGTTTCAATATACTAGGAGTCATGATATATTAATAGATTGTGAAATCCACCTTGGTGGGTCATGACCAGCATTTTAAAGAAACACAACAGAAAAGAGACTGCACCAGAAACAAAAGAGGCAATTACCTCTTCCAGCCACAGTTGAAGGGTTGGCTGTAGACCATTTGGAAGAAAAAGGGCGACTGAAAAGTAAAAAGAAATGTTGTTAGTAAGACTTAATTTATAACTCACTTGATTACTAATACTGAAATACTACTTTCTGAAAAGTTTAGAAACTTCTAAACTTCCTTTTTAAAATTACTATTCTTAACCATATGTCATCAAATATCAATAGTGTCACTACTAGCTATAAAGTAAAAACAAAATAATTGGCTATGACCAAAGACAGGAGAGCTGTAAAGAAAGAACTGGTTACTTTTATTCCCTCTGAATCTTAGTTTACATCATGGTGCATTCCTGAGAACTCAGTACTAGCACTATCACCTACTTGTACCCTAAGGTATTTTACTTTTAAGAGAAAAGTGACTATTATAGCACCATAGGCAGCTCAGCACTCCCAAAGCTTTGCATGTAAGTCACAATGGCTGTGGCCATTATAGTTATGATATAGAAGCTATACACACACCTCTCATGTAATACTACTGTACCCTGTGGATGGGATAGCAAAACAAGACTAAGAGCTGTTGCTGAGAATAACAGGTACAATTACAGAATGTTAGCAAGATATTTCTGCTCATCTCAAAGAACCCATCATCTCTCTGAACATTTTTTGATTATTTATCTTTAGTTACTATAGTAGTCTATAGACCATGAATAAACAAAATATTTAGTATATAACAGGATCCAAAGGTGGGAGATCAAATAAGCAAGAACCTCAAATAGGTTAATGCAAGAAGATAGAAAAATATTGTTATTTTTGACTTTTTTGTTAGGGCTTACTAGCGAACTCAACAAATTTGACATCTTGTTGCCTTAGTTTCCTGAGTGCTAGGAGATATGTGCCACCACACCCAGTTCAGAAAGATATTCTTTTTTTTTCAGAAAGATATTCTTTAAGTTAGATTATTACCTTTATTCTTTTATTTTTTAGTGATGTCAGGGATTGAAGCCAGGACCATGCATATGCTAGGTAAGTACTCTACTACTGAGCTTCAAACTGTTGCCAAAGCAACCAGCAATCTTTGGAGCTTACAAACAGGAAAATATTAACTATTATAGAAAGATAAACTGACATTCTGTAAAATGTCTTCCCTAGAAAATCTGTAGATTCCTGGCACAGGGCAAGAGTCTATGAAGTCCATGTAAATAGTCACTTTTCTCTTTTAAGTAGACATAGCACCACTGTTCAGAAACAGAAAAGGCTTAAGAAATCTTTGCAATCTCATAAGTCTAGTAAGATAGAAAGCAGGTTACTACTGCCAAAGCAGTGAAGATCTAAAACAGTTAAAATCTTTAAGAAAATAGTTACAGAAAAGTTAGATATGAGATCATTTTGCCTCCTATAGGGACTTCCAGATTCTTTCCACCCTTTTTTTCCCCCCCATTTCTGTTTTTGGTGTTACCATGGTTTGAGAACAGGTCTTCCTACTTGTTTTTTTTTTTTTTTGGGTCCAGTCGTGGGGCCTGAACTCTGGGCCTGGGCGCTGTCCTTCAGCTCTTCAGCTCAAGGCTAGCACTCTACCACTTGAGTCATAGCGCCACTTTCGGGTTTTTTCTTTTTGCTTATGAGATGCTGAGGAATTGAACCCAGGGCCTCAGGCATGCAAGGCAAGCGCTCTACCACTGAGCCAACTTCCCAGCCTTTCCTACTTGTTAAGCAAACATTCTACCCCTTAAGCAATGCCCTCCAGCTGTCAGGAGTTCTTAAGCTATACAAAAGGATAGAAAGAAAAGCATGGAATTTTTATACTGAAGAGGACTTTTAAGTCCTTATTATAATTCCCTTATGATAATGTCCTGAAAGTGGCCTTTTTTTTTGGGGGGGGGGGGAGGGGGGTTGGTCATGAGTCTTGAACTCTGGGCCTGGGTGCTGTCCACTTGAGCATTTCAGCTCAAGGCCAGTGCTCTACCATTTAAGCCACAGCGCCACTTCTGGTTTTCTGGTGGTTAATTGGAGATAAAGAGTCTCATAGACATTCCTGCCCGGGCTGGCTTTGAACCACAATCCTCAGATCTCAGCCTCTCCAGGAGCTAGAATTACAGAAGTGCGCCACCAGCACACAGCACATTAACTTTTTTAAGGTATTAAAAGTGCATATAAATTAGTGCTTCCCAGGCCATCATAGTTATGAATATATAGAAACAAAATATGAATAATTAGAAGTTTATAATAATAGCATATAGTACAACCCTTGAGACGCCAGACCAAAGAAACTAAACATAATCAAGCCATCATTTTTCAGAGTACTGACCATCCAACTTAGGAGAATGGGAAAGAGGGATAGATCAGTCATTATTATGTAAATAACCTTACTTTAGACTTTCTTGTGAACTAGATGAAGACCTGTCTGATTGTGGTAGAGATGCTACACTGCCAGAGCTCTTCAGGTAAGTTTGAAGACTTTTCTGATAAGACGGCTCAAGAGAATTATATAATGTTTCAGCTTCACCAGGAAAGTGGTTTCTAAGACCCATATATGTCCTGCAAAAGAAAGAATAGCACATAAGTAAGAGCTTTATGTGATTAGACTTTAACAGCAAAATGTGTGAAGATAAACTCATAGGTTTTTACTGTATCTACAATATGCTAAATGAAAACTTTCTAAATTGAGTAAGTTTCAGTGGAAAGACTGTAGACCTTTGGAAAAAGCAGAGTAGCTCAAAACCTGGCTGTGCCACTTATAGTTTATACAGAATTGAGTAAAACTACCACTACAGATAAACCAGCTTTGCAGGATCAGAAAGTGAAGAGACTATGTTGGAATAAGAAAACTAAAAAAAAAAAAAAAAACCTCACAAATGACAAGGCAGTTTTGGAGAAAAATCAACCTCAATTTTGCTGAAGAGCTAAACACTAATCACTGCTAGAACACATGGGACATGTATGGTGTTTTCATTCACCCAAGGGAGTAAAGTTTGTCTGAACTTTCACAAAAATAAACTACAGACTTACTTTCTTGCCTCCACTCTGGCCTCAGCATCAGCATCATGAATTCCCTTCTTAATTGTTTCAACCAAGACAGCTGCATGTCTATAAAATAAAAATTTGGATTCATATGTGAATCTATGTAGTTAATTACAAATACTTCCTAACACATTACACATCCATCACAAAGGATGGGAAAGTCCAAAAGATTAGTGAAAATAAGATTATAGGATCCCTCCCTTCTTCCTTCTTTCTGAAATGGGGTCTTACTCTTTTAAGTCCAAGCCAGCAACATTGCTGGAATTACAAACATGCACTATCACACCTCAGCTCAAGATTGTGGTATTTTCTAAAAACTTGCCCTAAATATTTCATTCACATAAGGTTTCCTTTTGATAATTATCAGTCTGAAATAATTATTTCTTACAGAAGCCAGATAATACGAGAATATATAGTACCTAAATCTAAATTTTAATGACTTAGGAAGAAAAAGAACCTGAGTGGTTCCTCACTAATTCACCACTGCAAAAAAAAAAAAAAATGTTAAAAGTATAATCTATAGCTGGGCACCAGTGTGTCATGTCTGTAATCCTAGCTACTCAGGAGGCTGAGATCTGAGGATCACAGTTCAAAGCCAGCCCAGACAGTAAAGTCCATGGGACTTTTTTTTTTTTTGGGGGGGGGGGGGCCTGGTTGTGGGGCCTGAACTCTGGGCCTGGGCGCTGTCCCTCAGCTCTTCAGCTCAAGGCTAGCACTCTACCACTTGAGCCACAGCGCCACTTCTGGCTTTTTTTTTCCTTTTTGCTTATATGGTGCTGAGGAATCGAACCCAGGGCTTCAGGCATGCAAGGCAAGCGCTCTACCACTGAGCCACCTTCCCAGCCCAGTTCTTGGGACTTTATCTCCAATTAACCACCAGAAAACCAGAAGTGGTGCTGTGGCTCAAGTGGTAGAGCACTAGCTTAAGCTGAAGAGCTCAGTGATAGTGCCAAGGCTCAGAGATCAAGACTAACCAAAAAAAGAAGGAAAAAAAAAGACAACAAAAAACGTATATCTATTAAACTTAGGGCACTTAAGATGCAAAGACTGTGGTTTACTACTAGCCTCAGCAATAAAGTTTGCAAGACACTATCTTGAAAAATCTCTCCCCCACAAAAAAGGGGTGAAAGTGTATGCTAAAATGGTATAGCATCAGCCTAGCAAGCATGAAGACTTGAGTTCAAAAATCTCAAAATACTGCACAAGAAAATAAAAGAAAAAGAAAGTAAGTGTGATCTGCTATGATCTGACTAAGTTGAATAGTAGCTGCCACAAAAGAACTAAAAGAGCACTTAGAATTATTTCATTCCTACTTTACTTATTTATCTTATTTAATTTTTAATTTTTTTTGTGTCTGGGCTGGTGCTTGAAATCAGGGCCTTGTGGTCTTGTGTGACCTCTGCACAAGGCTGTCACACTAGTATTTGAGACAGACACACATCCATTTCTGGCTTTTTGGTAGTTGACAAGACATAAGAGTCGCAGAGAATTGTTTGCCCAGGCTAGCTTTGTATCTCAATCCTCCTATCCCAGCCTCTTGAATAGCTAGGATTACAGTTGTAAACCACTGGTGCCCATCTTCATTTTTACTTTAAATAATAGATTTTACTTTTAAACAGTTAGTGTAAGGCCAAGTGCAGTGGCTCATGCCTGTAATCTTAGCTACTTAGGAGGTTGAGATCCAAAAGGTCAATAATTCAAAGCCATTCCGAACAGAAAAGTCCTTGAGATTCCCTCTTCAAAATTACCAGCAAAAAAAGCACATCTGGAGACTGGCTCAAATGGCAGAGTACCAGCTGAGTAAGCAAGCTGAGCAAGTATGAGGTCCTGAGTTCAAATGCCTATATCTGGGGGGGGGGGGGGGGGGGGAGACACGACACGGTGAGGAGGAGGAGTGAAGACATTGAAGAATTTCCATTAAAAAGAGAGACTCATGGGGCTGGGAAGGTGGCTCAGTGGTAGAGCGCTTGCCTTGCATGCCTGAGGCCCTGGGTTCGATTCCTCGGCACCACATAAGCAAAAAGAAAAAAGCCGGAAGTGGCGCTGTGGCTCAAGTGGTACAGTGCTAGCCTTGAGCTGAAGAGCTGAGGGACAGTGCCCAGGCCGAGAGTTCAGGCCCCACGACCGGACCCCCCCCCAAAAAAATAAATAAATAAAAATAAAAAGAGAGACTCAGCAATGAATGTACTTAAAGAGAAGTTATTGCTGAAGCTTTAAGGTTCAAAGTAATAAGAAATATAGCTGTGCAAATAGCCAGTGACCAAAAAGCTGTCCTCATATAGTATCCAGTATATTACTTTAGCATTGATACCTAACAGCTGATGTGAGGAAATTTTATAAATGATTCCTTTATCTCCCACTTCCTCTTTTTTCTCTTTCCCTTTTGCCTCAATCTCACTCCTTTTTTGCTGTACTAGGAATTGAACACCTGCCAAGTGTCCCATCACTTGTCACAACCCCAGTCCTTTCTGGTTTTTAGTTTTTCAGATAGGGCCTTGCTAACAGGGACTGACTTGAACTAGTTCCTCCTATCTTCATTTCCTGAGTAGAGAGGATTATATACATGTTCCAACATTCTTAGTCTCTATTTTTAAAAGTATCTCCTTCCTCTAAAAGGAAGTTCCTTGCTTCTCTCTACGTGAAATCATATATTAAATGATAAATTTTAGCTTAAGAAACCAATTAAACAGGATTAAAGATACACTGCTTCCATTTTTGGCCACTTCATCTTAGAGGATCTTGTTTTTTTTGGGGGGGAGGGGGGGCTGTCCTAGGATTTGAACTCTGGGCCTGGATGCTGTCCCTTAGTTTCTTTTGCTCAGGCTAGAGCTCTATCACTTGAGTCACAGTGCCACTTCTGGATTTTTTGAGCAGTTTACTGGAGATAAGAGTCTCATAGACTTTCCTGCCCGGGCTGGCTTTATTTTGATAGTCAGATCTCTGCCTCCTGAGTAGCTAAGATTACAGGTGTGAGCCACAAGCACCCAGCTTAGAGGATCTTATATGACCCATTCTACTCAAGGAATTCTTATCTACCTTACTAAGAAGAAAATCAGACTAGCTACATCTAAAAGCGTAAGAGGAGCACAGACTCAAGGTAAGGCAGAACAAAAAGCCTATAGGCAAAATGAGAAACAATGCAAAACCAAAGCCTCAGCTTCTAAAGAACTGGCTAACAATAAGGAGGGGAGTGAGGTGGGAGTAGGAGAGGTGCCGTGCATACCTTTCTAAGGAATGAGTCTGCCATTCTTGTAACAACAGATCTAAAAATTCAAAGGAACGCCTGAAAGATAAAAGTTAACTTATAATTAAATTTTGCATCAAGCAACTCATCAATACATTCCTTTATAATTTTGTATGGCATGGTTTCTAGATATTTAATTAAAGAGTATCTTATTTTAACATCCAACTTTTTCAGTACTAGTTTAAAGAACTAGCTAGTTTAAAGATTTCCCCATAAATTTAACTTTAAAATGTTTATTAAATATAAAATTTAACAAATTCCACTCACACTAGCCACTGAAGACACATAATGATAACCAAAGACATGAAATGACAAAATAAACCTTTTTGTTCTACATTTTGTTTCCTTAAATATTAAGATATATGATTTTTAAAAAGCAAGTTTGTAAAAAAAAAAAAAGCAAGTTTGTATATGTTTTCTCATAAGCCCTCTAATTTTCAACTCCAGGTGTTTCTTCCTTGGATCACTGCTTTGTTTTCTTTACTAACATCTTTTATGCACCTGTCCTTAAATAGTTGCTCATCTGGTGGAGCCAATCTTACCTTGTACCTGGCTCTATCTGATGTAATTCTTACATCTAATCCTTATCTCCAGCACTGTTTCTTTGCTTTAGCTAAGTTTTAGCCAGCTCATAAACATGTCCACATAGGCAATGACTATCAAGCCCAATTTACAAAAGATAAATTAATTTTTGCCTTCTCCAATCTACTCTTTTAGTACATATCATACATATTAGGAAATAATAACAGGAAAAGTTAGGAAATAATAACAGGAAAAGTTAACTGTGCTCAAAGTGATAAAGCTGGGATACCAATGCTGGGGCTTTGATTCCAATGTTAATAATCAAAAGCACTTGATACCATACCTCTAGTCATCAAGTTTCATTTCCACAAATGAAAAATGGATTTTGATTTTATTAACTAATATCTCCTTCAACCATCAATATAGCTGTATTTCAAACTTTGCCTTCTTCAAATTTTTTTTGACAGAAGGAGGAACAGTACTGGAGTTCAACTCAGAACTTTGTATTTGCCAGGCAGATACTCGTCCTCTCAAGCCATGCCTCCAGCTCTCTGCCTTTCTCTTACATGAATTATAACAACTCCCACTAAAACCAGTGCTTTTCACTATACTATGGATTTTCTGCAAGGCAACTTTAAGAATTAGTTAACATTAACTCTTATACTAAATAAGAATGAAACATTATGCAATGTGAAAGTTACATTAAAAATTAATTTTCAAAGCTCACCTCCTCACTGGAACTGATTTTGATGTGCAGTTGCTTGTTATTAAAGGAATAAGCCTAGGTACATGAGTATGCTGAAAAAGATGTTTCAGAAAAGGATGAAAAATACTGTGCACTTCATGTAGTCCTTTCTTCTGTGTGCCTTACATTCAAGTACTTAACTATGTTATGACAAAACAAAAACTTTAAGTCAGATTTCAAATTAAAGTAACAGTAATCATGTTACAGTTTCAAAAGGACAGCTGAGGATAAAGTAATATACTACAAAGACAAATGAATTGCGAAACTGGAAATAACTGTTAGGTGAGTATCATTTATGGAAAAAGGAGCATTAAGAGGAACCTGACATGAATTCATGTTTTCTAAACTACCTTTGTTACTGCTGGTAGGAAATAATAATTGTATGTTATCAAAACAGAGAACCAGAGTGAGTCAATATTCTTAACTATTGAGAATACAGTTTGAAATGGTGATTCTAATAGAATTTTCATTCTGGCTAAATCATATCTACTACAATTCAAATACAAGTTCAATAGATACAAACTTGTAGACACTAGTAACTTTTTTTTTCTAGTGAAGCAAACACTAAAAATTTCATTATAGATACTGTACAAAATGGCTACCTAAGTGTACATATTAGATGCCACAAATCTATTTGTCTTCTGAGCTAATGGTAAAGGTTGGGTTACCTAGGAAGCAAGTTCTGAGATGCAGCTTAGTGTGCAGAGAATTTATTATACCCTTGGGTATTTTTACCCATGGAAGGAAGAAAAAACAGAAGTAGGCAACTGAGGAAACCATGATGAGATCCAGTAAAGTTAAAATGGTTTTCAGAACAGCTCCAAGTTGGTCCAAGATACTTCCATATCAGTCAGTTTTTGGATATAAGCCATAGGAAAAAGGGGAAAGACCCTGGAAAAGGTAGTTCCCTTTAGCATAAAAATCCTTGAAGAGACTGTCTACAAATAGTGCTTCTTCCAGCATTGGAGATATAAAGGATTTTTTTTTCTTTTAAATGTTGGCTGTACTGGTACCAGGGTATTCTTACCACTTGAGTCACATTGCCAGCCCTTTTTGCTCTAGTTGTTTTATAGGTAGAGTTTGGAGTTTTTTGCTGAGGGCTGTCCTAGTCCTGAACTTCTTATCAATGCCTCCTGCGAAGCATGAAGCACAGGTGCACATCACATTGCTTGGCTCATTGAGTGACAGTCGGCCTCACTTTTTTGCCTGGGCTGTCCTTGAGCAGTGGTGTTCCTAAATGTCAGCCTCCAAAGTAGCTGCAATTTCATGTCCAAGCCACTGCACCTAGACTTATTTAAAAAATGTAGAACACTTTAGCAACACTTTATGAATCTGTGTCTCACCCTTTCACAGGGGCCAGGCTAATCTTTTATACCACTCCAATTTGAATATATGTGATACTGAAATGAACACAAGAAATAATCCGCTCAGCTTGGCCAAGTAGCTCATGGCAGTATGTGCAATGATAAAAATAACATAAAAAAAAGAGAAAACATAAAGTCCAAACAAGAATGGCCCAAAAGCAATTAAAAAATGGGATATGGGAATATAGCAACAAACACTGCTAAATGATAGGAACAGTTGAAAATTACTTGCTAAGTGTAATATAACCATTAAGGGAGCAAGAATGCATGAACAGGATAAAGATATACTTTTTAGGTGTTTATTTTTGCTTTGTTTTGATTTTTGGAGAGTCTTTCTATGTAGTCCAGGTTATTCTTGAACTTGATATCTTCCTGATTCAGTCTGGAATGCTAGGATTTGAGGAATGTATCACTACATCCATGAAAATATTCACTTGTTTTGGTGGTGGTCCTAGGGCTTGAACTCAGGGTCTAGGTGTTGTCTTTGAGCATTGTTGCTCAAAACTAGTGATCTATCATGTTAGAAAAGCTCCACTTCTGGCTTTTGATTATTATTTAGAAATAAGATTCTCGTGGACTTTCCTGCCTTGGTCTGGCTTTGAATCACTATCCTCAGATCTCACTCAGCCTCCTGAGGATTGCAAGTGTGCGCCACTAGCAGCCAGCTAAAATGTAAGAGCCAGTAAACAAAGGTTTTCTTCTTAACATTGACAAAGAGTAAGGAGCTTCTAAATTATGAAAATGAAATGGAATAGGCATGATGGACAGTGAATAATAAAAAAACTATTGTAATAGTAAAAATACTATTTCAATAGTCAAAAATTTGACAATAAAGCACAAACACAAACCATGTGTATGTTCAGTATTTACATTTTCTATTTAGTATTTACAATTTTGGGTGACTTATGGTTGTACTAGCATAGAATAGAAATTTGGAAACATATATGCTAGAAAAATGATAGAGAAACAGAATTTAAAGTGAGAGAATTTTTTTTTTTTTTGTCAGTCATGGGGCTTGAACTCAGAGTCTGAGCACTGTCCCTGAGCCTCTGTTCAAGACTAGCACTCTACCACTTGAGCCACAGCATCACTTCTGGTTTTTGAGTGGTTAATTGGAGATAACAGTTTCCTGGGGACTTTTCTGCCCAGGCTGGCTTCTAACCGAGATCCTCAGATCTCAGCTTCCTGAGTAGCTAGGATTACAGGTGTGAAACACTGGTGCCCTGCTGAGAATTTTTTTTTAAGGTGTAGGCATTGTCAAGATATTCATTATGAGAAATAATAAGATTTGTTGTTTTTATTGCTGCTTGTAATATTTGAGATTGTACACAGGATGCATTACTATATATATGGATATGAACTATATTGCATATTTAAGCGTATTTGCTTTATATTATCTACATGTAATATAATAATTATGTATTTTATTATCAGAAAAAAAGAAATAAAGTGATCTTTCTTCTTTGGAGCTTAATAAAATACTAATGATTTATGTAAATGCAATAGGAGAGTGAGGGAGGGGAAACCTACCCGAATGATGAATCTGATTGCTGCACATCCAGAAGTTGCCATGACTTTTGCACTATTGGGGACAAGATTAAAAAGTGTAGGTACAATGGCTTCAGCGCCATGATCAAACTTGTTTCCCAAAACTGTTGAAAGGTGGCTACAAAAGAAAACAAAAATATTTTTAATAGCTTTAATCTTAAATATAGATAAGATCATTTTCAATAAAGTATTTTTCCTGAAAGGGAAGTCCAAATACTATATGTTCTTTTCTTTTTCCTATTTATCTCTTTAGTTTTTCCTATTTATCTCTGATCAAACTATCAGCTCTAAATTAACATCAAGAAAAATATCAGATCTGTTTACCATGACTTTTGGTCTTGATTCATCAGATATTTCAATTTTGATGCCCAATAAAAGTTCAAAATATTTTATAATATAGTTCAAAATATTACTTGAATCAATGTTCCTTGAAGCATTCTCTATTTCTATTAGCGATACGTCTGTTTTTTCCACAAAATTAGCGCTTGACATTTTGGGGGTTGATCTCTAGTTGGACTTTTGTTTTTTGTTTTTGTCGATCGTGGGGCTTGAACTCTGGCCTTGGGCGCTGTCCCTTAGCTCTTCAGCTCAAGGCAAATACTCTGACGCTTGAGCTACTGCGCCATTTCTGGTTTTCTAGTGGTTTTACTGGAGGTAAGAGTTTCATGGACTTTCCTGCCAGGGATGGCTTTGAACCTCGATCCTCAGATTTCAGCCTCCTGAGTAGCTAGAATTATAGCCATGAGCCATTGGCACCCAGCCGTTGGATGGGTTTTTTAAGGACATCAATCTTTTCTTTTCAAATTTGCAGAAAAGCAACTAATCGAGACTTTATCTTAGTTAAAACACTCACAAAGTATGCTGTAGTCATTGGCAGTTCTAGCAATAATTGTAGTATTGGTCAATTTCAATATTTTTATATGGCATCTAATTTAAAATACATGGTTAGGCAAAGTACTGGTGGTTTATACCTATAATCCTAGCTACTTCAGGAGGCTGAGATTAGAAAGATCAAGGTTCAAAGCTATTCTGCACAGACAAGTCTAGAGACTCCATGTCCAAACAAAGAAAAAATTGACCTGGCAGTATGGCTTAAGTGGTAGCATGCCAGCCAAGTAAGCAAGGCCTGAAAGCTGAAGGCTTGCAGAGTTCAAACCCAGAAATGGCATAAACAAACAAAATAAAATACATGCTGCTTAAGAACTCTAAAAATTCAGGTTGTTCATTAAAAGAGGCACTCAGACTCAGACCTGTTTAACAGTGTCCAGTTATAAGGTCAGTTGTAAAATGCCTCAATTCACAGGTGAAAAACTCAAATCAAAATCAGGAAGATGTCTCTTATGTATGGATATTGTTGTCTTCCTCACAGAGTATGAATTTTGTTCTGGTAGGCCAGTAATATACCTAGAAGTCAGTTTGATTTTTATAAGCTTATTGGGAGAAATGGGGTCTAGAGTAGACTTGTATATTGGATCTGGTTTAGAACTATTCCTATATGTTGGTGGCCTTTCTGGGATCAAGTTAAGGATGATACAGAGTTATAAAATACTTCTCTTTTCTTAACTAACTTCCTTCCTTTCTTTCCCTCCCTTTCTTTCCCTTCCTTCCTTCTTTCTTCCCTCCCTCCCTCCCCCCCCAACTCTTTTCTTTCTTGTTCTGGGGCCTGAACTCTGGGCGCTGTCCCTCAGCTCTTCAGCTCAAGGCTAGCACTCTACCACCTGAGCCACAGCGCCACTTCCGGCTTTCTTCTTTTTGCTTACGTGGTGCTGAGGAATGGAACCCAGGGCCTCATGCATGCAAAGCAAGCACGCTACCACTGAGCCACCTTCCCAGCCCTATTTTCTTTTTTTTTTTTTATGTTGGTCCTGGGGCTTAAATTGAGGGCTGGGCACTGTCCCTGAGCTTTTTTGCTCAAGGCTAGTACTCTACCACTTGAGTCATAGCTCACCTTCCAGTTTTTTTTGGTGCTTAATTAGAGATAAGAGTCTCACTGACCTCTGCCTAGGTTGGCTTCAAAGCACAATCCTCAGATCTCAGCCTCCTGAACAGCTATGATTATAGGTGTGAGCTACCAGTGCCTGGCAAAATATTTCTTCTTTAAAAAAGAATCATACTGAGGACCCCAAGATGGTGCCGAAACAATAGGAAATCACCTTCTCTCTAACCAAATAGAGCATAGCGGTGTCCCAAGAGATGGAAACAGCAAAAAATTGAACAAACAGGGAGTCACAGAAACCGGAGAGGAAAAAGAAAAAAGCTCATATTGCATACAAAGATGGAAACTCGCCCCTCGCAGAAGCGCAGCCAAGCTGCTAAAAGCCATCCCCGGCCTGCCAGGGTTTCAGGATCACCAGCAGACTGCAGAACCAGACGTAGAAAACTCCTACAGCGGGACCTGGGCAGCACAGAGAGAGACTGAGACCAGAGACAAAGCACAGAGACACCAGACCCGGAGAGCTCCCAACAGCACCATGGCACAGCCCACAACTAGTCCCAGGATCAGTGAGCACCCGCTGCCGATCCCCCCAATAGGAGACCAGCACTGGTAGTGACCCACAGAACTTGACCTGCCCAAGAAGGAACATTACACTTCAAAGGGACAAAGAGGCCAGAGCCTTTCCCTCCCTCCTCCCCCCACTCCAGTAGGAGGCCACAGGGACTCATACTTGATAGGTGCTAGGACTGTGCGCTGCCCACAGCACTGGCTCTCAGGAGTGCACACACAGGGCAGCAGCTGGCGGGAACACCATTCGTCCCGGCCAGGATCTGCCAAGTGGGTGTGCCAGCGTTTCAAGCCCATTAGGAAGCACGACAGGTGGAAATGCAACTGGCACACCCCTACTGGGAGGCTCTGGCCCCTGGAGGGAGCTGTGGAAACTACTGCCCTGTCTACAATTGCGATTTGTGTGAGTGCCCGACAGTAGGCGGGGCATGCACATGGGCTTCAGACGAGGCGCTCCAAGCTGCGGACCAAACCTTCTGAAGCCAACGACCACCCCAGACACCTGAATTTAACTGATTACAATCCCCACTGCAGACTGGACAGAGTTTCTTTCAGCCAGCCCGGGGCTGAGTGCGCCCACAGTCACCAGCCGGCCTGGGGACCCAGGTTGGGTGGGTGACCCAGTGTGAGCCAACCCAGAGTCAAGCGAAGGCTGCCACCTGTCGACCAAAAGCAGGCAGACCACTAATGTGTAAGTCACAATGAAAATTACAAGATTCATGAACAGTCAAGACAGCAAACCAATCCCAAAAGCCAACAGCAATCTGGGAAAGAACTCCAGTGATAGTGAAGAAGAAATGAAGGACAAAGACCAATTAAAGAGATGATGGCAGAAATGACCAAAGGAATAAAAGGTGAAGTCCATGAATTCAAAAAAGAAATGCAGACAAAAATAGACATGATAAACACCTCATTAAAAGATGAAATCAAAACTTTAAGAACCGATATAGGAACCATAAATGATTCAATTTTCGAAATACAAACCACAATGGAATAATAACAGAATAAATGAGATGGAAAACAGAGTATCAGGAGTTGAAGATTATAAAATAGAGGAGCTGCAGAAGAAAGTCACAGATATGCGGGGAAAAACAACAGAATTTACCAAAGGGAAGTCCAAGAACTGGTAATCTTTGTATAACTAGGGTCAGTAAGGGGAGGAATACCAGAAGAGAGGGATGCAACACTTATTCAATGAGATTATTACTGAAAATTACCCCAATCTTAAAAGAGAAAATCTTGGGGGGTGGGAGGGGTGGTAAGGGGAAACAAAGGAGGAGGCAACAATGCTTGATAAGAAATGCACTCATTACCTTGCCCATGTAATCCCTCTGTACGGTATTTTCATAATAAAAAAAAAAGGGGAAAATCTTATTCACATAACAGAAGCATACAGTATACCTACTAAACAGGATCCTAGAAGAAACATGTCTAGACATATCATAGTAAAGACACTAGACCTGAATTGCAAAGAGCTGATTTTAAATGCTGAAAAATCAAAGAAGGAGCTATACTACAATGGAAAGAAAAGCACAATCACTGTGGACCTGTCCACATAAACCCTCAATACAAGGAGAGCCTGGAAAGGTACCATCCAAGTCCTGAAAACCAACATGCCAACCCAAACTGGTATATTCAGCCTTGAAACTAGAATTCACATTCAATGGAGAAATTAAAACTTTTAATAACAAAGAAAAATTCAAGGAATTCATGAACAATAAGCCAGCACTACAAAAATATATATTAAAAGGAGGAATACAATCTGAAGAAAACAATCAAGATCAGGGCACCTCATCATATAGAAATCATTAGGAGATCAATTTAGTAGGCACAGAAAAAGGAAAGGAGCAAATGGCAGGAAACATAACACATTTCTCTATAATAACCATAAACATTAATAGACTCAATTCACCAATCAAAAGAAAACAAACCACACAATAGATCAGAAGACAAGATGCATCCATTTGTTTCTCCAAGAGACGCATATCACAACCAAAGATAAAAAACTCCCAGTAAAGGGATGGAAGACCTTCCATGCAAATGTACCCAGCAAAAAGGCAGGGGTCGCCAATTTGATATCTGACAGAATAGACTTCTCATTAAAATCAGTACAAAATGACAAGAAGGTCACTACATATTAATACAGACAACAATCCAAGAAGAGGGTATCACCATCATCAATTTATATTCACCAAACAATGGAGCACTTAATATGTTAAACAAGTACTCTCAGACTGACAAAACAAGATAGACTCAAATACAATAGTAGTGGGAGACTTTTAATACCACATTCTCACCAAAGGACAGGTCAACCAAACAGAGGATAAGCAAAGTAGCCTCTGAACTAAATATCCCAGATGGACTTAACAGACATCTACAGAGTTTTCCACCCAACAATGACCCAATAAACATTCTTCTCAGCAGCCCCTGGAACTTTCTCCAAAATAGATCATATCATAGAATTTAAGCAAATACAAGAGGATTGACATAATCCCTTATATTCTATCCGACCAGAGTGGAACCAAATCAGTTCTCAACAACAAAGCACACTGCAGAAATTACTCAAATATATGGAGGCTGAACAGTACACTACCGAATAACACCTGGGTCACAGA